ATTTATAACCCATGGGCGGATCTCACGTAAAAACTGGCGCCATTCATTCTTCAACATGTTGCCAAGAAGGTTTCAGTTGAAGAAAATTTTCCAATGCCAACAGTATCCATAAGAATTGAACTCTGATTTCCAAAATGATCCAACGTTCCAATACTCCATTTGTTTTAATTCCTCTGAAGGCGAATAAAGTTCCCAGCAATATCTGCAAATCGAAATAAATCGTTAGTGAAGTCAAAAATATTACAAATTTTTCATTTTTGTCTCAAAAATGTATTAAAAAAACAAAAGCTACTTATTAGATTAAAAATAAAATAAATTATTTCTGAACTGAATCGCTCCCATCTTAGAGATTTTCAACAATAATGAATAAAAACAAATAAATCAAAATAAAATATAAAATCCTCTTCAGGAAAAAAAATTTAACGGAAATTATAAACCTTTTTTTCTACCAAAAAAAATTGATCTCTCATAAAAAATAATTACTATCTTTAGATAATTGCCAATAAATAATTATCTACAATAAAAACAAAAATCCCAAGGAATTTTTTTTTTTTTTTAATGTAATAAAATATAATGTTGGTGGCTCTCAGAAAAAATTTTTAAAGAAGCAATTTACGTTTATATGAAACATTGACCCAAAACAGCTTTTGGAGTTTATTTTTATTATTTTTTTTTTTTTTTGTTAAAAATATAATTCAATTAGAAAATATAAAGGAAACCGGGGCGGGGCATTCCAGCGACCTGAACGTTTATCGACCTATTAAGAATCATATTTTTCATTATCAAATGAGAAGATCGAGAGGGGAATATTCTAAATTTTAAATTAGTTCCAAACGTGTTGGAAAAAACAAGTAAAAAACAATAATTGACTCTATCTATGAATGAAATCTTCTACCATTCGAATACATAACTTTAGTTCAAGAGATAATCTTATACGAGAATATCCTCAGAATGTGAACAAATATCGTAATAATAACGCCGTGAAAATATTTCTTTTTTTGTACAATCTATTACAATTTGGTAATTTACCTTTTATTTATTATCAAAATAATAAGAAAGTTTAGTTATTTTTAAGACGATATTTAACATCGAGAGTTATGGAAATAGAAAAAAATCCGCACTTTGGAAAAAAGAATAAAACGAGAAAGACGAATTTATTTTCGAATAGGAAAAATTCACTTTGGGAAAAAGAATCAAACCGAATAAAAAGAACGAAAATTAACGCGCGAATTTATTTTGAGACAGAAAAAATTCACTTTGCGGGAAAAAGAATAAAAAGGACGAAATTCATCAAGAATTTATTTCGAAACAAAAAAAAATCCACTTTGGGAAGAAGAAAGAAAAGGGCGAAATTCAACACGAATTTATTGAAATAGAAAAAATCCACTTTCAGAAAAAAAAGAAAAACGTCGAGGCGAGAGGAAAAGTGAAAAACTTGAAAATGAAGTGCAGCGGAAAAGGATTTGTAAAAATGACAAAAGACTGGTAGGCCACGTGCCAACTATATACACAAAGAAGAAATACCACAGTATCAATTGCACCTCAGAACATCTATAGAAGGCAAGGATTATACTTGAAGAATGCTCAGAAATATTAATTGTAATAAATCCACTTGAAGCCGCAGTAAATCCCTCTAGGCGATCTCTGTGGGTAAAGCCTATTGCTATAATTTTTCCACAATTACGACCAGATCCGAACAAAGATTATACAAAGAGAGCCCTTGGATTCTCCCTCTCTCTCTCGAGTAAGTTTTCGCTTTTCCTCTCTGCTCCCTTTAATAGAATGCTGCTTCGATAATGATCCAACTATGTATGTTTATTTAAAGGATTAGTGTAATATTATCTAATTATAACGATTCTCTCCAATTTCCTTCGTCCCTAAAAAAAAATATGACAAATATTATTCAACTTGAAATCACTTCTTTCTTTTAGTGAAATTTATTTCTATTATATATACTAATTTTTACTTCAAATATCAATTTTAATTTAATTTAATTTCAATTCAACGTATCAATTTCAAAAATTGAATAATTTATTCAAAATTTAATAAAATTGACTCATTAACTAATTAACTATTATTATTTTTTTTTTTAATTTTAAAAAAATTCTTCGCAACAATTCAATTATTGTTATAAATAATAAAACTCTTTTCAGAAATTATTTTCATAAATAATAATATTCTTTCCAATAATTTAATTATTTCTATAATAATAATACATAATCATACAGAAGAATTAAATTTTTTTTTAAAATTCGTCCTAAGAATTCAATTATTTTCAAAATTTCTAATGAAATTCTTCGAAACAAATAAATTATTTTCAAAAAGTGAAAAAAAGTTGAAAAAATTCTTCACAAGATTTCAATTATTTTTATAAATAATAATATTCTTTGCAACAATTCAATTATTTTAAGAAATAATACAATATGCAGAAAGAAATTTAATCATTTTTAAATATTTATAAAATTTGTCGAAAGAATTCAATTATTTTTATACATGTAATAAATTTCTTCTCAAGAATTCAATTATTTCTATAAATAATACAATTCTAAGGAAGAATTAAAATATTTTGAATATTAAAAAAAAATTCGTCGAAAAAATTTAATTATTTTCAAAAATTTTAATGAAATTCTTCGGAATAATTCAATTATTTTCAAAAAGTTTGATAAGATTATTCACAAAATTTAAATTATTTTCATAAATAATAATATTCTTTGTAAGAATTGAATTGAATTGAATTTTTAATTACAATTAATAACAAAAACGACTATTTTAGAAACATAAAAAAAATTCTTCAAAATAATTAAATTTTTTATCAATAATTTCATTAAAACTTTTATAAAATTTCTCGAAATAATTGAATAATTTTGAAAAATTGTAATAAAATTTTGAGAAGAATTCAATTATTTACAAAAAATTTCAGTAAAATTCAAATATCAAATTTTTAATTACAATTATTAACAAAAACGACTTTTTTTAGAATCTTGGAAGTAATTCTTCAAAATAATTAAGTTTTTTATCAATAATTTCATTAAAATTTTTATAAAATTTTGAGAAGAATTCAACTATTTACAAAAAATTTCAATATAATTAAGTTATCAAATTTTCAATTACAATTATTAATAGAAACGACTATTTTAGAATCTTGAAAGAAATTCTTCAAAATAATTAAATTCTTTATTAATAATATATTAAAATTTTTATAAAATTTTGAGAAGAATTCAATTATTTACATAAAATTTCAATATAATTCAATTATCAAATTTTCAATTACAATTATTAACAAAAACGACTATTTTAGAATCTTGAAAGAAATTCTTACAAATAATTAAATTTTTTCTCAATAATTTCATTAAAATTTTTATAAAAATTTGAGAAGAATTCAATTATTTAAAAAAAATTTCAATATAATTAAGTTATCAAATTTTCAATTACAATTATTAATAGAAACGACTATTTTAGAATCTTGAAAGAAATTCTTGAAAATAATTAAATTCTTTATTAATAATTTCATTAAAATTTTTATAAAATTTTGAGAAGAATTCAATTATTTACATAAAATTTCAATATAATTCAAGTATTAAATTCTCAAGTACAATTATTAACAAAAACGATTATTTAAAAAATTTGAAAGACATTCTTCGTGAAATTTAATTACTTCAAATTTTCAATTAAAATTAGTAAAAAAAATTTATTATATTCAAAGAAATTATAAGAAGTTCTTTAAAACAATTCGATTATTTTAAAAAAATTTTAATAAAATTTGTCGCAAGAATTCAATTATTTTTATAAATAATACAATTCTCCCGAGGAATTTAATTATTTTCAAGAATTGTAATAAAATTTGTCGCAGAAATCCAATTATTTCCAAAATCTTTCATAAAATTCTTTATAAGAATTCAATTATTTTCAATACCTCCATTAATTTTAAAATTAAAAACATTTAAATATAGAATATCATCAAAAAAATTCAAGAAATAAAAAAGAAATCAAAGACAACTATAACTTTGAATTACAAACAAACATTCGGAATAAAAAGAATATTAAAATAGATTTCGATAGATAATTGAAAATACAAAATAATTAAAAATAATTGAAAATAACAATTAATTACAAAAATAATTTTTTTTGAACGTAAATTAATATTTCTAAAAATTGTTATATAACAGAAAGAATTTCTTCAAACGAGAGAAGAAATTCTATCAAATTATAATATCTATATGCCGCATAAGAGTCCTTGTGCCATCGAGAATCATCAAAAAAGAAATGCGAATCCAAAACGACAGTATAGAAACGATGCCATGGATGAATAGACAAACAGAACTTAATTATGTTCTAGATATATAGATTAAACCCTAATAATATCAAAACACGAGTAAATATCATTTCTCATCAAGCAAAAATCAATCAGAAATATAACAGAAGAATTCCCCTATTTCCAAACTCGAAAAAAATATGTCACATGAAGGATTAAAAAGACTCATTTAAAAACTCAAAAAAAGTAGAAAGAAGATTTTGTTTTTGAATAGAAGGGTAGTTTTCAAGGGATAAGAATATATTTTCCAAAAAAAAAAAATTTTTCCTTTTTTTTGAAGCTACGCAAAAGAATTAAGGACCCCCCGTCGGGGTATCGGTTACGCTTTAACCGCATTTAAGGGTTTGAAAGTATCTTCGGTTTAGTTGGGGACTGAGGACATACGAGGTCCTTATGGAGCCTGACGATGGCGCCAAGAAGATCTGTATCTCGCGGCGATTGGCGGCGCGGGTCTCTCAGGAAGAGAGAAAGAAATAGAAGAGAAAAAAAAGAAAGAAAGAAAGAAAGAAAGAGAGAGAGAGAGAGAGAGAGAACTTTCCATGTGCGCCTCGGAGGACTTCGAAGCACACGGCTCATCAAAGATAACATCTAATTCTGAATCGCCCGTTCGTATAGGCTTCTATGTTCAAAATGTCCTGTTTTGCTTATGGGACACACTATGTGAAGGCACCGCCTTGTCTGACAGGAATCGAGAACGGTCCAGTGAACACGAGTAGTGCTGCGATTTGATGTTTCTCACGTTGTTTTATCGTAAACTGCGCGCTGAAGGAAGTCAAAATTTCCTTATTGAGGAAATTATTCGTTGGATTCGAAACTCCTTCGAATTTATCTGCAAATGAAGATGCTCCAAAAGAATTTCTCCAAATTCATCTCGAAACGAAATTCGTCCAAATAAAATTCCTCCAAATTCTATTCAACAGAAATAATTTTTTGTAAGCAAATATACTATACTCAAGCAAATCTTAAAAAATATCAGAGTTACCGCAAAAATTAAATTTTGTTTTTCCCTGACTTCTCCTTGATTTCCAGACAAAATTTAGACTTTTCCCTGACCCTAAAAAATACCTATTCTGATTCACTCTAAAAATTATTAGATACAAAAAAAAACTTCTATTATACATTTACTTACGAATTTCTTTAATTATAAAATTATTCGAAAACACTAATAAATTCTATTTTCAATAAATATTTAATCATTTTTATTTACCATAGGAATTAAGATTTTCAAAAATTTCAAATTCAAACCTTTATGAAATTCAACAACTTATAAAAATCTATATTAATATGCAGATTAATATAGATTAATAATAATCGTTATATTCCGGTATAATCTGTTCGCAGTTTGAATTAGTTGCTGTCTGCTTCTTTGTTTACTAACTTTTTAACTGTTCAAAATTTTTAAATTAATGTACTGAAAATCATTGAATTCTTGTAAGGTATTTATAAAAAAATTTGAAAATAATTTAATTCATTTCAAGAATTTTATCAAAATTTTTTTTTAATAATTGAGTTCTTTCGAGGAAATGCAATTAAAACTATATTGAAAACAATTTAATTCTTGACAAGATTGTTATTAAAATTCTTTAAAATAATCAAATTGTTTTTAAAAATATATTTCAATTTTTTTGAAAATTATGGAAATTTTTTTTAATAATTTTTACTGAAAAATTTGAAAGTAATTGAATTTTATGAAGAATTCAATTATTTAAATACAATTTTAATTGAATTCCAGGGAAAATTAAATTATTTTTAAACATTTTTTTTAAATTCTTCGAAAGAATTCAATAATATCAATGAATAGTATAAATTTTTCATTGGAATTCAATTATTTTAAATACAATTTTAATAAAATTCTTCTCAAAAATTCACTTCATATTTAAAATTTTGCAAAAATTCAATTATTTGTAGAAATAATAAATTTTTTCGCGCAGGGATTCAATTATTTAAAAAAGTTTTAATAAAATTCTATTCAAGAATTCAATTATTTTCATAAATAATGAAATTTTCGATGTAATTGTATAGAAAATAATTTAATTCTTGGCAAGATTTTTATTAAAATTCTTTAAAATAATTGAATTGCTTTGAAGAATTTATTTCAATTTTCATAAAAATAATGGAGTTTTTTTAAAACAATTTTTACTGAAAATTATAAGTATAATATTGAATATTATGAAGATTTTCTTTAAAGTTTTAAAATAATCGTGTTTATGATTAATTGTAATTAATAATTTTCTTATTAAATCATATTAAAATTATTCACAGAAAATTTAATTATTTTAAACAATTTTATTTCATTTTTTGTAAATAATTACATTTTTTAAAAGAATTTTATTAAAAACTTTTGAGAACAATTGAATTGTTTAAAAAATTTTATTACAATTTTTAAAAATAATTGAACCTGTTAGAGAAATTTTATTAAAATTATCTTGAATATAATTGGATTTTTTCCTAGAAATTTTATTAAAAGAAATTGAATTTCTCAGAAGAATTTTATTATTTACAAAAATAATTGAATTCTTGACAATAATTTTACAATTTATATAAAAATAATAGAATTGTTTCGACGAATTTTATCAGAATTGTTAAAAATAATTGAAATTTTATTAAAACTCTTGAAAATAATTGAATTTAAATATTTTAAAAAATAATTGAAAATTCGTTGCAAGAATTAAATTACATTTCACAAATAATAAAATTCTTTGTTGAAATTGAAATATTTTCAAAATCTACTTGTTGTAAGAATTCCATTATTTTCATAAATAATTAAATTCTTCACAGGATTTCAATTATTTTTAATACAATTTTAAATAAATTCCTCGAAAAATGGAATTATTTTCTTCAAAATTTTTTGCAAGAACTTAATTACATTTCACGAATATTGAAATTCTTCGTTGAAATTCAAATATTTTCAAAATCTACTATTTTAATAAATTTTCTCAAAAGAATTCAATTATTTAGAATTTAATGTAATGAAATTCGTTGCAGGAATTCAATTGTCAATTATTTTTAAAAATTCATGCCATAATGCTTTTAATATTCAATTATTATCTAAAATTTTAACTGAAATTCATTTTTAAATAAATTTTTATTAGAAAATTCTACGAGAATTCAATTATTTAAATACAAATAAAATGCAAATAAATAATTTGTTGAATAAATGAATGTTTCTCAAAATAGAATTATCAAGAAAAATTTTATCAAACTTAATTTAGCGAAAAAATTTATAAAAAAATTTGTAAATAGTTGAATTGCTGTGAAATTTTTATTATGTTTGAAAATAATTTAATGGTTGCTTAGAATTTTATAAACATTTTTTTAAAATAATTAAATTCTTTTGAAAAATGTTATTAAAATAGTAGATATTGAAAGTCGTTGAACTGAGGAAAATTTTTGAAAATAATTGAAATTTTGCCAAGAATTTTATTGAAATTTTTGAAAATAATTTAATTTTGGAGAAGAATTTTATTATTTTTAAAGATAATTGAAATTTTGACGAGAATTTTTTTTATTTTTGAACAGAATTTAATTTCTGCGAAGATCTTTATTACTTTTGAAAATAATTGAATTTCTGCAATCATTTTTTGTAACTTCTCCAAAATTCAATTTTTTCCAGTACTTATTATAAAAAATCCCTGACTTTTCCCTGATTTCCCTGACCTGTGGCAACACTGAATATTAAATCAAAATTAAATACCTTTTTGCCCCAAAACAGTGATAATTTTCTACTCTCACATCAATTTTAATTCATAACAGTCCTTTTTTTTATCGCAGTTCATATAATTTTGCTCGTTTCGTATCCAAAGTAATTGAGCTTTTCATTTTTCGGGCAGATTAGAATTTCTTCGTCGAAAAGTTTCCAAAAGTCACGTCAATTCCAGATCTGTAACAAATTGCTGAATAATAATTTTGAATTATATAAAGAATTATTAAATATATAACTAATAAACAACTAATAACTAATTTTTTATAACTAATTCCTAATTATTTGCAACTAGTAGCTGATAATAAAGATTATCTAATAACTAAGGACTAATTTATTGTGACTAATTTATTAGTTAATAAATAAAATAAAATTATTTATTAGTTAATAAATTAAATAAAATTATTTATTACCTAGTTAATAAATAATTCACAATAGAAAATAACAATTTATAACTAATAAATAATTGACAACAGAAAAAACGGATAAATAGACTATAAAATACTATATACGCAGATAATTCGGACAAATTTTGTATTAGAACAAAGAACAAAAACTAAACCTTTTGCAAGACTCTTTACTGGTAAGACACTTATTTTTATTTTACAAACTAAAATTTAAAAGTCATTTGTATGCATAAAAACTTGTAAACTGGTTTTAATATTTTCTTCTTTATATGCAGTGTAAGTATCCGTTTGTCGACAGCTTTGACGACTACTGTTTTTTTATACCCTCCCTACAGCGAATCACAATGACTCGTTTTGTGGTGCATAATAAATTTAAATAATACCTACATTTGTTGCCTAAAACAAAAATAAAAAATAATCACTCGCAAAAAATCAAGGCTAACATTATTACAACATAAGAAAGTTAATGACATTTCAGAAAATTCTTTACATTATTATATATACGTAGTTCTAAAAAATACTCGCTCTATATATTTCTTTTAATTATTCACGCAGACAAAACGCGAAACATTTTTTTTCTATTTTAATACTAAACTAGCGCAAATGATAAGCGCGGAACGCGGTATTCCATTTTTAATTATTTTGCAAATTAAAAAATGTTTTCTTTTCAAAAATTAACAATTAATTTTTGAATAATTAGATTTAAAATTTAAAGAATTCACTCATTAAGTACATAATAAAATTTCTCGAAAGAATACCATTATTTTTAAAAATATTATTCGATATTCGATTATTTTCAAGAATTTTAATATAAATTCAATTATTTTCAACAATTTTGATATAATTCTTTTAAAAAAATCATTATTTTCAAAATTTTTAATAAAATTCCTTCGAAAAATTCAAATATTTTCAAAATGTTCGATAAAATTCTTCGAAACAATTCAATATTATTTTTATGAATTGTAAAATTCTCCCTAAGAATTCAATTATTTTCGAAAAACTAAGAAAATTCTTCTCAAGAATAAAAATATTTTCATAAATAATAAAATTCTACCTATTTTCAATACAATTTTAAAAAAATAAATAAATTAATTAAAATAAAATTTCTCGAAAGAATACAATTATTTTTTAAAATTATTTTTAATAAAAATTAAATTATTTTTAACAATTCTTGTTAAATTCTTCAAAAAAATTCAATTATTTTTATAAATTGTAAAATTCTTGTCAAGAATTCAATTATCATCATAAAAAATAAAATTCTTTGGAAGATTTCAATTATTTTTATTATTAATAAAAATTTTTCGGAGGATTTCAATTATTTTTAAAAATTTCAAATTCAATTTTTTTCATAAATAATTGAATTCTTCGGAGGATTTCAGTTATATTCAAAAATTTGAAATAAATTCTTGTCAAGAATTCAATTTTTTTCATAAATAATTGAATTCTTTACAGAATTTCAATTATTTTCAAAAATTTGAAATAAATTCTTGTCAAGAAATCCTTTCTAAGTAAAATTCATCGCAATAATTATTTTGAAAATTATTTTAAAAAGTTAAAAAAAATTCGTTGTTTAATTCAATTATTTTCTAAATTTTCAATTATGAAATTATTCAAAAAACTACATTATTTAAAAAAAACACAAAAAAATTCTTCAAAAGAATTTAATTATTTACAAAAACTCTAATAAAAACCATTAATATTATCTATTCTTTGAAAGAATTTAATTATTTTCTATATTTTAATAAATTTCCTTGAATGAATTAGATTATTTTATAAAATTGTTATAAAATTCTGAGAAGAATTTAATTATTTTCTAAAAATTTCAATAAAATTCAATAATTAAATGTTTAATTTCATTATTTGTATATTATTTATATACAAATTTTATTCGATACAAATAAAATTTTTTTATCTATTAAATAAAATTTATTTCAACTGAATAAAATTTATATCGGCTAAATACAATTTTATTTCAACTGAATAAAATTGATTTGGACTAAAAGCAATTTATTTCAACTGAATAAAATTTATTTGGGCTAAATACATTTTATTTCAACTGAATGAAATTTATTTTGACTAAATAAATTTATTAGAACCAAATGAAACTTTTTTCAAACAAATAAAAAATTTAGTTGGCTCTGAGTCAAATATCTTTTTTCTGCGGGTGTATTAAATATTCAAATACTAAAATTTAATATTAAATTTTATATGAATTACTTTGTATTTAATTAAATAAAAAATAAATAAATAACAAAAATAAAAAATACATAAAAAATTTAAATACTAAAATATATATTTACGAAACGAAAAGACAAATGAAACGTAAATTTTTCCATTTACGCATTATTATCAATTATTATAGAGAGTGAAGCGAGAAAAGCTGTGAGTGAAGAATTAAAATTGCTAACAATTAATTATAAACCTTAGAGAACGTCCTACTCTTGCTACCACCCTATAAGAAGTGAAAGCGGATTAGATTCACAAGTCAGTTAACCCTGTTTATGGCTATTATGTGTCATTTTTCATTTGAGCGCGTGTAACATTTGCCAGAGCAGGTATTTAATCTCGCTTCGATCAGTATAGACACACTACATAGTATCTGAAATTGTTAATGTTGCTCAAGGCATAGCTCGCTGAACTAATGGTGAACATATAGGACAATCTAGCACTTTATACAACTTACAATATTATCGCGCAATATAAAGCATAAAGAGTCCACAAAAGTCTGCATTGCATATAAATTTTATGCCTTAACTTGCGACTATAAATTCAATTTATACCTCTTAATATAGAAGACAATAAATAGCAATCAATAAAGAACATAATGATAGCAATAATAGCGCAATAATAACAATAAATAACAAATTTTTATCGCAGGGTGCAAGAAGCATATTTCGCCGCGATACAAATTGATTCATTTCAATGAGATTATTCAATTTTTTTTCTGCTTAAATTTCGTAGAATTAAATTATAAATTTGGAAATACAAAACAAAAAAATTTTCCTCTCAAAACTTCCTCTCTCGTGTCGATCGTGGGGTAGTAAAAATTATTCTAATTTCCTTATTCGAAGTGAAAGAAGAAAATAGTGATCCAGTTTGATAAGAAAACAGAGTTGCCACAAAAATTTAATTTTGATTTTCCCTGACTTCTCCCTGATTTCCAGACAAAATTTGGACTTTTTCCCTGACCCTAAAGAATATTCTGAAACAATCTAAAAATTATTAGATACCTACTCAAAAAAATTTTCTATTAGATTTATTTACAAATTTCTTTAATTGTAAAATTATTCAAAAACATCAATAACTTCATTTTTAAATAAGTATTTAATTATTATTTTTCCATAGCAATTAAAATTCTTCAAAACATTCAAATTCAAACCTTTTTGAAATTCAACAACTCATAATAATTAAAGAAATTCATTAATTAAATATACATTAGAAAATAAAAACTTGAAATAATTTTAAAAAATTTCAATTAAGCTTTTTGAAAAAAATTAGTTCCATAGAATTTTTAATTAAAAAAAGTATGAAAAATTCAGATTTTCAATGATTTTATTTTGAAACCTGCTTTTAAAAAATTAAATTATTTCTAAAAATTGCAATTATTAGTAACTTCTCCAAAATTCAATTATTATCTAAAACTTTAACTGAAATTAATTTTTAAATCAATTTTTATTAGAAAATTCTACGAGAATTTAATTATTTAAATACAAACATAGATAATTTATTAAATAATTATTGAATGTTTCTTAAAATTGAATTCTTACCTATACATAATTTAATAAACAAATTTTTAAATAATTGAATTCTTTCGACTAATTTTAATAACATTATTAACAATAATTGCATTTTTTGAAGAATCCGATTAAAATTGAAATTCTGCAATGAGTTTTATTATTTATGAAAATAATTGAATCAATACGAAGAATTTTATAAAAAAGTATCAAACAATTGATTTTTTTCGAAAAAAATTTATGCAAATTCTATTTTTAATAATTGAATTCTTTTGGGAAATTTTATTAAAATAATACAAAATATTGAAAATTATTGAATTATGAAAAATTTTTGAAAATAATTGAAATTTTGACATGAATTTTATTAAAATTTTTGAAAAAATGTATGCAAATTCTATTTTAAATCATTGAATTCCTGTCAAGTTTTTATTTTTTTGGAAAATAATTGAATGTACGTGTAGAATATTATCTAAATTTTTGTTTAATAGTGGAATTCTTTTGGAAAATTTTATTAAAATAATACTTTTTGAAAATAATTGAAATTTTGCCATGAATTTTATTACTGTTGACAAAAAATTGAATTCTTGTGCGATGAATTATGAAAATAAAAATAAATTTTGCAATTAATTCAAAATTCCTGAAAATAATTAAAATTTGTCGAAGAATTTTGCTATTCATTTATGAAGACAAAATTGAAATATTGACAATTTTTTTTAGATTTTTGGAAAATAATGGAATTTCATGCGAAGAATTTTATTCATTTTGAAAATAATTGAATTCTTGTAATGAATATTGTTATTTATGAAAATAATAGAATTTTAAAATGAATTTTATAAAAATTCCTGAATGTGAATATAATTCAATTTTGGTGAATTTTAATAAAATTTTTAAGAATAATTACATTTTTCGAGGAATTGGATTAAAATTGTATATTAAAAATAATTGAAATTTTGCAATGAATTTTATTCTTTACGAAAATAATTAAATTATTGCAAAGAATTTTATAAAAAAGTTTTAAACAATTGACTTTTTTTAAAAAAAAATTATGCAAATTCTATTTTTAATAATTGAATTCCTGTAAACTTTTCATTATTTTAGAAAATAATTAAATATTTGTGTAGAATTTCGTCAAAATTGTTTTTAAATAATTTAATTCGTTGGGTAAATTTTATTAAAGTAATAGATTTATATATATAAATTTTTGAATAAGGAAGTTTTTTTCAAATAATTGAAATTTTGCAATGAATTTTATTACAATTTTTGAAAATATTGGATTCTTGTAATGAATATTGTTATTTGTAAAAATAATAAATTGACTTCCTCGGAATGATTTTATTATATTTATGAAAATAATTACATCCTTAAAAAGAATTTAAAAATTTATGAAAATAATTGAATTACTGCGAAGAAATTACTGCCAAATTTTAAAACATTTGATTTTTTTTAAAACATTTATACAAATTCTGCTTGAAATAATTGAATTCATGTGAAGTTTCTATATGATTCTGGAAAATAATTTAATGTTCGTGCAGAATTTTTATCAAAATTTTTATTTAATAATTGAATTCTTTTGGAAAATTTTATTATAATAGTAGAATATTGAAAATCATTGAATTAAGAAAATTTTTTGAAAATAATTGAAATTTTGACATGAATTTTATTCAAATTTTCGAAAATAATTGAATTCTTGTGATTAATAATATTATTTATGAAAATAATTGAATTTCTGCGAAGAATTTTATTAAATTTGAAAATAATAGAATTCTTGTGTTGAATATTGTTATTTATGAAAAAATTGAATTTGCAATGAATTTTATTAAAATTCCTGAATACAATTGAATTTCGGCGAAGAATTTTGCTATTTATTAAGATAATTCAAATGTTGACGAGAATTTTTGAAAATAATTGATTTTCTGAAAAGAATTTTGACATTTATTAAGATAGTTGAATTTTTTCAAAGCATTGAGTTAAAACTTTTAAAATTGAAACTTATTTTAACAGAATTGAATTTCTTATAAATTCTAAGCATTTAATTTTTTTCATTACTTTTAATCAAAATCCCTGACTTTTCCCTGAATTCCCTGATTTCCCGGACCTGTGGCAACTCTTAAAAAAGATCTTGCGAACTCTTTTGAAATTTATGGAGTAAAACGAAATTTCGGATTGTGCGTGAAAAAGAGAAGAAGAAGAGCGTTGAAATGAAAATTTGTATAATTATTATTATTGTGACCTCGGCAAAGGAGCAAACAGGACTTTTCTCTCTCTGTGTGTGTATGTGAGTTGCTGCGCGTCTATCGTTATCATAATCCCGCTTTCAGACACAAAAGGCGTGCGAGTTAAATCAAGCATTTGTATTCTGCAGAGATTTTTCAACGGCGGCTGGACAGTTTTCTCATTTCGTTTATGGCGGCCATAACATAACTCTAACACTACTACCACTGTCAAATAATATATCTCCACGTATATATGTAGTGAATAGCACATACCTCCATCATTATATTCGCCGTTCCTTATTCCACTTTACAAATTTTCCACTTGCACTTCATTCATATGAATATGATGATTCAATATAGATACAATTCCATTATGACAATTTTCCTCCTCTCGAGTTCGATAAACCCATCCATTCTCATTCCTGTAAATAAACAAATAATAAATTAGAAGTCACAAAAATAATTTTTTCCCCCTATTTATTAACTATTCAATATTAATGTTCTTTTTCCTTAATTTAATTTCCTTATTCTATTATTGTACTCAATAATTAATTTTTTTTAATACAATAAATGAACTTGAATTTTTAAATATTGAAATAAAAGAATAGTTAATTTTTAACATCGAATTTAAAAAGTTAAAAAGATAAAACCGGAATTTACTTTACACAAATTCCAAAAACGCAAATTACTGGCTTTTAAATTTGAAATTTATTATAATATATATTCAATACAAATGTTACTGACTAAACACTACTTTTAATTAATTATCAATATGAAAATTTCAATTTTCTATTATCAAATATCAACTTCAAAAATTTTTATTGACTTCAAATTCAAAATTAAAAAATCTACCTATTATTAATTGTACAATAATTATTACTCATTATTTTCTAAAATATTATAGTAAAATTCTTTTAAAGAATTTAATTATTTTCGAAAATTGATTAAAAATTCGTCGCAACTTTTTATCTAAATAAGTAAATAATCTAAATCTAAATAACTCCGAATTGACATAAATTAAAAATTTATAAATATAGAGAATAGTTCTGTAATTAGTTTTGCAAATTTATTTTTAAACGCTAAAAGATATTGATTTTTCAAATATTTAAATACAATAAAATCCTTGTTTTTTAAAAAGAGTTAAAAAATCCTAATTACCGACCTTTAAATTTGAATGTTTGGTTCCGAAGTTTAATAATTTTCCACCCTTTTATTTGAATCGATGAAGGGAATCTGAAAATAAAAAAATTTTGTAAAAAAAAAATAAACCAGAAATTACGGAAATTATAAATAAAAATTATAAAAATAAAGATAAAAAGAAAGTATTTATTTATGTTAAACATTTATTTATATTTATATTTTTTAAATAATATAAAAATTTTACTATAGAAAAATTTAAATTGAAGCAAATATTAAATTTTCAGTTCATTTAGTATTAATTTTACTAAATATAGATATAAAAAAAATCTCACCTTTCCATAAAACTACGAAAACAATAATTCTCATCGTTTCCTCCTCGCAGAATTATAATGAACCGGTTCAAATGCAAAGAGTTGATCCTCTCCAAATGATGAAACAATCAGTTGCGAAGGTGTTGTGTTCCTTGAAACAAAAGAAAAAATGATAAGAACAATATACCTAGTCAAAAAAAAAAAAAATAAGATAATAATTAAGAACCATGATATACAAAAGAAATTAATAGACAAGAATCATCGAACTTTAATAAATAATTAAATGTCGAATTAAAAGAAAAAAGCAGTTTCTCATCATCTGATTATAGAAATGGACTTTCTTACAATGTATGCGCTGTATATATAAATAAAGAAAAAGAGATGATATTAAAGTTGTCCCAATTAATATGGTGCAATACTATAATTATAGACTGTTGGGTAAATTGTTTTCTATATAGACGTATATAATGATGATCTTATCTATTAATTATATACACACACTCACACGATATATAAAACTGAAGAATGTAGAAATGAAATTAAATAGAAGTGACTAAGTCGGCGAATCGTAAACCGAATAAATGGCGCCATATAGGAATGGTATATGGTATACAAATACCATTGTATATATGGTTGGTCGATACATAGATCGAAATTGGCGATTTTGCACATCATCGTCCATATGATGAGGCGAATGTCTGCTTCATTCCTTCGAAATATTTGATTTTCAAAATTAAGAAGCAATTCCCTTGGACTCGACCCAGACAACTTCACACTAAATGGCGGTCAGACCTGAGGCATGTCGCGCGCCATGGGGCGCCTTCTTCGGCACTCCTTATTTATTTTTTTCTCTCTCTCTCTCTTCTCTTTTTTTTTGGATACACGACTCACGGTTTGCCGGCGCGATATTCTAATGATATAGTTTACTCATTACACATATTGATCAGACCTGTACCTACCGCATTCTTCAACCCTCCATTTCTTCCTTGTTCATTATTTTCCAGTGAAGAATCTCTGCTTCTGAAAACAAATTCAAAATTAGTTCACTACAAAGGCGATTTTTTTCATTATTTACTAAATAACTAATTATTTGCTGAATAACTAAATTATTTACTGAATAAATAAATTATTTACTGAATAACTAAATTATTTACTAAATACAATCCTTTCTCTAAGAGGAGCAAAATTATTTACTAAACTATAGCATAACTAATGCGCGAGACATTTTACAGCCCACTGATGTTAATTACAAAAACTTTCTTTTTGAAATTTAATGAAAATTTCAGGGACAATTACGAAAAGTTTAGTTTCGTTTTAGTTTCTGAGTTGACTCAAAACTAAATTAACAAACTGAGTTTAGTTTCGTGTCGACTCGAAACTATAAATTAACAAAATAGATTGATTTTCGTGTCGACTCGAAACTAAATTAACAAATTAAATTAGTTTCAAGACGACTCGAAACTAAATTAATAAATTGAATTTAGTTTTGTGTCGACTCAAATAACTAAACTAAAAAACTAAATAATTTAAAAATAAAACAATATTATTTACTTCAGTACAGAACGAAAATAAATATCTGAGAAACTCAATTAGTTAATTTCAATTAAAAAATCACAGCAAACAATAAAATACTTAAAGAAATAATATTATTATAATCTATTTTAATAATCGTTGCAATCTGATAATCTGTTCGCAGTTTGAAGTTATAGTTTATTGTTTCCTAATTTTTTAAATATTTTTTCTTTTTGAATATTTTCAATTTTAAAATTAATGTTTTAAAAATCATTGAATTCTTGCAAAGAATTTAATCAAAAAATTTGATAATAATAGAATTCTTTCGAAGAATTTTATTATTTTGGAAAATAATTGAATTCTCATGAAGAATTTTGTTAAAATTTTTGAAAATTCTAAGTAAATTAAATTGTTTTTGAAGAATTTCTTTGAATTTTTTTTTTTAATAATGGAGTTTCATTAATAATTTTCATTAAAAATTTTGAAAATAATTGAATTTTATGAACAATTTCTTTTAAGTTTTTAAAATAATCGTGTTTGTTAATAATTGACATTGAACATATAATACTATTGAATTCTTTCGTGAAATTTTTTTGAAAATAATTGAATTTTTGCAATGAATTTTACTATTTATAAATATAATGGAATTAATTTAAAGGATTTATTACAATTTTAGAAAAAAATTGTTAAAAATTAAAAAAATTGAATTCTTTTATAAAATGTTATTAAAATTGTATTAAAAATAATTATATAATATATTAAAATTTTAGAAAATAATTGAATTCTTTCGAAAAATATTATTAAAAATTAAAAAAAATTGAATTCTTTCGTGGAATTTTTTTGAAAATAAATGAATCTTTTGAAATTTTTTATAACGAATTAAGAAAAAAATTGAATTCTTTCGTGAAATTTTTTTGAAAATAATTGAATTTTTGCAATGAATTTTACTATGTATAAATAAAATTGAATTGTTTCGAAGGATTTATTAAAATTTTAGAAAATAATTGAATTCCTTCGAAAAATATTATTAAAAATTTTAAAAAAAATTGAATTCTTTCGTGAAATTTTTTTGAAAATAATTGAATTTTTACAGAGACTAAAATTGAATTTTAGTCTTTATGAAAACAATAATTGAATTTTTATGGAAAGAAATTTTATTAACATTTTTAAATATAATTGAATGTCTGTAGAATTCAATTTTTTTCAAGAATTATATATTTAAAATCTTTGATATAATTAATTTTCGCGAAGAATGTTATTATTTATTAAAATATTTGAATTCTTGCAAAGAATTTTGTTTCGGGTCACCACGAAACTAAAATTAAACGTAAATTTTTAATTTAGTTTCGTTTTATCATCGGTTCCTGAAAAATTTATTATTTTTTAAAAATTATAATTTTTCGAACTTCAGGTATATTTCAAAACAATTTTTAAAAATAAAATAAAGTTAAATTCCTTCAGATAGAACATTTATTTTAATGAATTTTGACAAAACTTAATTATGTTTCAATTTTTTAAAGTTTTTTTGGGGAATTCAATTATTTAAAAAAAATTTAATTAATTTCAAAAAACTAATTTTCTATCATTTCTGCGCATTAAATTTATCAAAACTTCAAAAATTTTTGTTAAAAAAATATTTAAAAAATTATTATTTATTTTAAATAAAATTTCAAATAATTTCAATATAAAACCTTTTGAAATTTAATTATTTCTAAAAATTACAACTGCAATTTTTCCAAGTCAAAAAAAAAATAAATAAAATAAAATGTTAATAAGATTTCAATTTAAAAATTTAATTTTAGATTGAAAAAAAAAATTTTAATTTTATTATTTCCTAAAAATCCTGTTTAAAACGCTTCTAATATTCAATTATTTTTAAAAATTTTATCTAAAATTCTTTTTTAAATCAATTCTTATTATAGAATTCAACGATAATTGAATTATTTAAATACAAAAATTATTGAAAAATTTAATTATAATTTCCAAATTTTTAGCTACAATTCTTGAAAAAATACAATAATGTTTAAAAATAATTTTTTAAAGTGAGAAAATAAAATTCTTTGAAATATAAAATTTATTTTAATGAAATTTGAGAAACTTTCCTAATTTTTTCAATTTTCAAAAATTATTCTTGGGAATTTAACTATTTTCAAATAATTTCAATTTTTTTCAAATCAATTCTTATAAAAAAGTTGTACTAGAATTTAATTATTTAAATGCAAAAATAATTCATTATTTCTAAAAATTGCAACTAACTAACTCACTCTACGTTTTAATTTTTTAAAAATAATTAAATTACACAAAGAAATTTTATTTGAATTTAATTGAAAATAATTGAATTCTTCCGTGAAATACATATTTAAAATTGTACTGAAATTATTTATTTTTTTATACTAGCTCCTCCGACGGCCGCAAGCGGCCGTCTACGGTGCTAGTTTTTATGTGTCCATTGTCCAAGTCCATTATTTCATTAATAATAATATTCAAATTTTTTCAGTTAATAATTTGCTTATTTATATTTGAAATGTTGACGTTTTTTTTGACAATGCAAAATAAGATTTATTATGAGTACTTTCTCTTAACAAAAATAAAATTTATATATTCGCGCTCTTTTTAAATAACATACGACTGCAGCGCCACCTTCACATGTACAAACAATTTTAAAAACACCCTTCTATTAAGATTTTACATTCTCATTGCCCATTCTTTACTTCGATACTTTTCGATACATTCGACCTTTCCACTCCATGTCTTTTTTAAGAAAGGAAAGAATTGTATCAAAATTTTTGAAAATAATTGAATTTTTTCATGAATTTTATTGAAATTTTTGAAAATAATTAAATTTTATCAAGAAAGTTTATTGAATTTGTATTGAAAAAATGAATATCATTCAATCCTTCAAAGATTTTTATTAATTATGAAAATAATTGAATTCTTGCCAAGAATTTTATTATGATTTGTAAATATATTATAATTGTTTTGAAGAAAATTAAAATTTTTCATGGAATTTAATTAAAATTGTCTTGAAAATAATTGAATTGAATTGAATAATTTAATAGAATAATTAAATTGAATTTTTGAAAAATAATTGAATTTTAATCACGAGGCCCTAACTTAACGTGAGAACAGAAAATCTCGATTTTTATTATATTTTATAATAATTACTAAATTATTTACTAAATTTGTTGAATTATTTACTAAATTACAAAATTATTTACTAAATTACTCGCTATAGAATAATCAGAAATTAAATAATATTAACATAAAAATAAAGTGATGATTAATTCCCACACTAACCGCGATTATGGCCAATTAAAAGCAACGATAATAAATCTCTTAATTAACGCATTTAAAAATATTTGCATACATATAGTTCGTGTGTGTTGGAATCAAACTGCATGTTTTGTGAAACTGCCTAAAAAAAGTGTTTCTGATTTATTATGGATAGTGCAACATTAATTACTTGATGCAATCAGCCATTCAATAGTGAGTTGTTGGTCGACTTTTATGACTCCGTTAAAAAAAGAAATGGTGATTTCGAAAAAAAAATGTCGCATATCTGCACCGAGAGTAATTTCAAAAAAAAAAAAAAAAAAAAAAAAAAAATACATATCAAAGCTCAATGATTGTGAATTGTCTGTAAGTACAAAACTGTCTGTCTGTCATTACAATCAGCAGCAACACGCTTTGTTTTTGTCCAACAACCCGACTATATTTTTGCTTTTTTTTCTCTCTCTTTCTCTCTCTGTTTCTCTTTCAACGTTAGAAATCTTCCAAGCAAAGCACTTTGGCCAGACAAACGATCGCTCAATAAATTCCGGAATGCCCGGTATTTCAAATGAAATGTATGTGTTACCCGAGAAATATTTTACGTCCCCGAAAAATCGTTAAATGCGAAATAGAATCTTCGGACATTAATTTCATAAAGACTTTTAATTTCACGAGAGAAAAAAACGAGTTTTGTATATATAAACATAATTTTTAATTACCCCGTGAGTTATATTCAATTTTTTTTTCTTTCTTTGCTTTTGTTTTTATTTGCTTTATATATTTATATATCACCAATTAAAAGAAAAAAAATTAAAATTATATAATTTAAGGAAGCTGAGTTTAAATTAGATATAAAAGTTTTTACGATGAAAGCCTAATAATGGCTAATAAATTTCTAGAAAACTAGATTAGGAGAAAAAAGTTCTCGGTATTGTTATATAGCGAATATATATATATAGACTCTTCGTGTTGAGAAACTTACCCAG